TATATACCCAAATACGGTATATATCAAAAATATGTCATATGTACAATATACATATTCATGAAATATATTACATAAGATAGTATATGAAATAAAATGTATATGCGATATTTTACATCAGCTATAGACCGATTTTTAGGGCTTCAGGGTTTAGGGTTTTATGCCTATATAGATCCTTTGATAGCACTGCAAAATACAGGCTATATGCCTTTACAATTTTTATAATACTGAAATACTATATATTGTAAATATTAATATGCCAATTTTTCGCCATATTTATTATCGAAAAATATGTGTTCCTCGGTCAGGTCATGACTGAAAGTCTGAAGTTCTGAACGCTTCAGAGCCAGTAAAACAGTTGTATATAACTATATTTCTCCTGTACAATTATCTCGTGAGGTATCCTTGCTCTACAAGCACTCTGCCATCTACTCTCTCCTCCCAGTTTTTTTATGACGCCCGAGTTTCTGCCACTCAATGGCTCCTTAAGTCCTTGTTGTGTGATTAACAGTGTAGTTTATTTTGTTCACAATTTCTCTATTTTGTTCTATAGTAACAAAAATATATTTATATTGGGTACTTCAAAACTCTACTCTCTACTCTCTCTGCTGTAGTCAGTTAGTCACTCTCTCCACTAGAGAGAGAGAGAGAGTAGAGGAGAGGGAGGAGGAAGGGTCAAGGCCCACAAAGGTCACATTAGAGCCCCCAATATTGGTCAAATATTATCGAACATTTGCAATTTTAAAAACAATCTTCTTTAGGGTGTTTTCTGCGCTGAAGAAGCCAAATTGAAACTCTAGAGTCTACTAGTTGTAGGCTACATATATCTACAAAATAGATATTTTATGCTCGACTTCATTCAGTCTGTGACACTGTGTCCACTAATTTTAGGCCGCATCTTTCATATCTTATGTCAGCTTTTGGCCACACATATTTTAAACATTTAGGATTTCTAAAAGATCATTTTGTGTTTTTGTACTAAAAATAGCAAAACACTACAACAAGAACTAAAGAATTCAACAACTGATTCACCCGATATATAGGCCGATACTCCCACAACGACTTCAACTGACTGACTTCACTCCTGTGCAACGGCCCTCTGCCCAAGGTCCAGGGCTTTTAAAACATTCATTTTTTTGTTCTAAAATAAAAATAAAAGATATGTATTTATTATACATTTCGATATAGTTTTTATTAAAACAAAACCATATTTGATTATTGTTTTTGATTAATTTAAAATATCCCATACTGTAAAAAAACAATATTTATTTCAATAACAAAAACAAAACTTTATTTGTTTTCAGGACAGGAGACACATAATTAAGAAAAACGTGCAGTGTGCAGAGTTCCCGGCTGAGAAAAGGGGGGGTGGGTGAGAGAAGGCTCTGAATTATAAATTGCCCCAAGTTGGACCGAATCTGTCACCAAATGGGGCATTTAATATTTCACATACACAAGTGAAAATGTATGTTTTTAATTTCATATCACAGGCGCTATCAAAATAATCCAAAATATACCATGTTCTCTCATATATCGAGTTTTAAAATATATTCTCTATTGTATACGTCTGAAAACTAGCCCAAATAATTTGAATAGGTGCTTTACCGACCCTAAAATGATAAAAAATAAAATTTAAAAATCAAAAGTTGGACTAAAGGCTCAAAATCGGTAGGGGGGGACCCTGCACCAGAGTGCCCATTCTGAATTCTGAACCGCATTGAAAAAATTGTATATATTTATTTAAACTTATACTCTTTAATGTTTTTCAAAAGAGCAATATTTATATGTTTATATTTATATAAGAAACAGTAGTAAAAAAATGAATTATGTTCCACATCCTCACAGGCTCACAAAGAGTCAAAATTAGATAAATATATAGACTCTTTACTCATGATATTTTTATTATTCTGTTGAAATGTAATATTTATTTTTGTTTGTTTGTGTTTTGTTTGCAAAACAAAACAAAACAAAAAAAAGCCACAAGCACATACAATTGAAGTCACATACTAAATGTATAAAAAAAGGAGATATTTATACTGACCCATTGCCCGGATTCTCTCCACTCTCCAGTTTAGAAGTTTGTGAATTGGTGTTTTTTAACACAACACCAAACAACTGCTTTATAAAAGTCGTATAACACTTCAGCGAGTTCTTTCTAGTTATTAATCTGCCATCTGTTGGTGTCTGGTATATACAAAGTGAATGAGGTGGGCAGGATTCAGTCTGATGTCTCTAATTGCCTTTATAGCAAATAACCAGTGAAAGACGGGACCATCTGTATTTATACTTATCGGTGTCCGTACTTGTTAATGCTTTGCATATTCATTAGATTACTGTTGTATTAAATTAACTAGAGGCAGATGGAAGAATTTCTGCACAGTTCAAGCGATCATGCACTCATCTTGACCGCCCAGAAGGTTGTATCCGCGAAGTGGGTTCCCCTGAATTCATCATGTATAGTATGGAAGGACGCTCGTGAGATAAATATTGACTTGAAGACTATTCCGATCGATGGGGGCGAATATCTAACAGTTGCATATGTGCGGTTCGTTCGTCAACCTCTGAAGATTCTTCAAAGCGGTGCATGCTTCGATGCACCTGTGTTCGATTTCGAAGTCATCCAGTATGTTGATTGCCATTTACACTACACTTTTTGTATGGTTCGAGCCGGTGTTTGATATACTCTGCCGCACTCTTGCAGCAAAGTCTATTTTTTGATCATTCTTGGATAGAACAAAAAAACACATACTAATTGTCAACAACACCACAGAGGGCAGCTATGTGCGAAGAACCGGCATGATTGTGGATTGACACTCCATTCCGTGCCTTCGAAATGTCGTACTTTTCGATCTTCCGAACCAAGGTATCTTGACACGAACACTTTTCAATTCCATAATCGGCTGTTTCGTGAGGCACACAATGTTCTCGAAACACAGAACCCTTAACGGATTAATGAGTATGTTGCCTTCTTCATACAGCTTTGACTCCACACGACACAAACTGGCCTTCCGCGTCACCTGCACTACTAATCCGAAGAGAGGCCATTATTCTAGTGAAGGAATGTGTTTTTACAAGGATGGTATCGCTATTAGTTCTATTTTCAAGGTAAGTTGCAAGTCAGGGGTTTGATGCCATTTCGGTTAAATTCTTTTAACGTTCTATTCAGAATTCTGTGATATCCACTAATTTAACACGTGTCATTTGTCTCCCACGATTTGACAGGTTGTTGCCCGCCCTGGTGGTCATGCCATAGCTAAACGACGAGAGACAGCGTCAAGGATACTCCGAACTAAAACCCATGAATGGCAGAGCTTGGCTGCTAAATTGAATCGCAGTAAATCTGTCGCAGATATAACGGATATCAAACCACCTGAACTGCCTTCTAAAGAACGTATTCCGACCTCATCAGCTCCGTCAGAATCTAATACTGCATTTTGCGGCACCTTTGGAAATGCAAAATTCTTAACAAAAGGCGATAGAAAGAGCGACGAACTCTCCGACAATGCTAAGTCACCAGCCAATATCAACCATGAGTTTACCAACACACTCAGTGAAGTCCAAGGTACACCTATGCGTGAGGTTTGCGCGGAGCCTGATGACGCAGGAAGCGAAGAAAGAGATATGACTGGTTTAGAACAGCAAATTACAAGGAGACGCAGTTTGAAACGAAGACAATGTGATTTGAGCGAAGGCGGATATAACGAAATGCGGCACAAACAACCTGCCAGCCGCCCGTTGAGTATGCCACATGTCCGTGGGATCGTTGGGGATGTCGATATGACCTTTGATCTACACCAACTTACTTTTGGTAACAGCCCCACCGACAACAGCCCAACATCGAATTACCAGGTGCATCCTCATCAAGACACTACTACGGATTTATTCCTCTCAAACAATTTTAACAACGACATCTTAGCTGAAATATTGAGGACCGAAAACAATGACTCACGGCCAGAAGCTGTCCCGTGGGCTAAGGCAGGGTTAAATTTATCGGCAACATCACACCAATCACAACATGGTCGATTGCAACGACGAGGAAGCTACCCTTGTTTGAAACTCGAGACAACTGGCAGTCAGTTCAAGGTGCGGAACGATACAGCAGCATCACCAATATCACCAATGGACGCAATAACCGAACATTCGTCGTCACAACAATTGCGGCAAGAATTATCGATGACCTCCGAATTATACGCACCACGATTATGCTTATCAAATTTTCAGAATCAATGGCCGGGCGATCACACGACTCACTCGAGAGGCGAATTTAACCAGTCATACACACGTAGGAGAAGTTATAGCGAGCGAGATCGCAGTCCCCGTAAAATCTCCGGTTTCTTCCACAGTAACAGCCATTCAACCGTACAATTGAAGCCGTTGCTGTCGACTGGAGCTTCAGCTCTGTCGGCAAGCATGTTCCAAGGTTCAGAGTATGAGAATTATTCATTCAATTCGCAGAAGTTTCAGATAGACAATATGGGCACCGCCACTGGTGATGGCTATGACACTCAAGACAGGAGGGCTGGTGTTTTCACAGCTATCCCCGACTACGAACATAAAGGTACAAATTCAAATAGAGGCTCACAAAACAACCACACAATTTCCACACAGCAGCAATACAACACAGCCCAATCGGCTTACGCTTCGCATAAGCACGATGCAAACTTCGGAAATAAGAATCACGGCCTGAACCCCACTAGTAACGAAAGCCAACACACACACAGAAATATGTGGAATACACAAGCCACAGTTGACCTCACCACCAGTAACTATGATATGCGAACTGGGCGAAGTGCCGAAGCTGGACAGCAACCTATGCAACAATTCGGTGCATTCATGCACACAGGAATGCCTGCTGCCATGAACGTTCAAACTACCGGATTGTCGCTGCCGTGCAGTAAAATGGACCTATACAGCAGGTTCGAGCACCTCCTCAAGGACGATCCCAGTCCCTGAGAAGGAAATAGTTATGATTCATTCTGAAATATAGGTATTGCTTGTGCCGGAGTTATTTGGTAGTCTTGTGTCTGCAACCCAATCATGAACTACGGTGTTTCTCCGGGAACAAGTGATTTTATGACCAAGTTTCTTTCTATTACATAACTTCAACCTCAGTAAAGTATATCTGATTGTAGCGAAAGAGTCACGCGATATGTTTATTCAGTCTTGATATAAGTATTGAGGTCGAGCGTGATCGTACTTTTTGCCTACTCGCCCACACAGATACAGAGAAGGCCGAATGATTAATAATACATGCAGTGATTTTCAACGTCTGAGTTGACTGAAAGAACTCCATGACGAGATTGTCAACGGGTACATTCTTGTTCAAGCCCTGCGATAACGACCAATAGAATGGTTATACTATGCTATAGTTTGGTTATCTTGATCATCTATATTTGGTCTCTCGTTTGTACAGTTGGTGTCTCCATGCACTCTTAGCATGCCTTTGTACAATAACAAGCCATACAAAGAGACCGAGCGATGTTTCGCTCTCAATGATAACCAACGAAGACAACGGAAAATAATCTACAGATAGGGATATGTGGAACATACTACACAGTATACGTGCACACATCACCGACATATACTTTTATACTTCTATATATATATATATATATATCAAGTGTTTATATATATACATATAAGCACACAAACACACACACATACATATATATATATGCATATCAATGTATGTATTTATGTATATGTATAAATACATAGATATATATATATATATATATAAGCACTAACACACACTTATTTATACATTTATATACATATCAATATTCAAGCAATAGTATACACACGCACACAAACACACACATTTATATATATATAATAGTATATAAACTAATATATATATGTAATCTGCGAATATATCAATATACATTTATGTTAATATATACACATATATACATACATAACTATTCAAATGTGAACATATGTACATTATATACACACACACACATATATATATATACATACATACATATAAATATATATATTTTATATATTTATATATATATATACATATCCACACTCATATATATATATATATAGTAAATAATATATATACATATATATATGTATATATATATATATCTATGTTCACATCCAATATATATACATATATATA